TCCATCACCAAAAGTCACATAACTAGCGGAATGATATTTTACATCCACCAACAGATTCTTGACACCTATCATGTGTCTAGAACAACTATTATCACAGTACCAGTCATCTTTGATTAATACTCCGAGGGAGGTGTGAGCTATGAAACTAGCAACATTAGACTTGGGAATCCATTGTTTCTTCTTTTTGCTATTTTGTGGCATCTTATCAGTCTTGGAAGGAAGAGTAGTCTTAGGATACCCATACAATTTGAAACAGAAGGGCCTTATATGACCAAGACTTCCACAGTGATGACATCTCTAGGGCTGGGGGTTCTCCTTGGTGTGATTAAACTTTTTCTTTCCATGATGTTTACCATTATGTCCTTTCTTACCATGATGTTTGCCCAGATGTTGAGACATTTGATTTGACATCTTTGGTTTATACTTGGCATGAGCGGAAACAGATGAAAGCTCTTCTGAGTTAGGTTCCTTTTTCTCATTGAAACCTAGACCACTCTTATCTCTTGTCACTCTTCCTGTTTGGAGAATTTCATCTAATGTGTCAGACCCATTATTCAGCATCTTGATAGATTTGACCATTATATCAAGATTTGAATTTAGAGAAGACACTTCACTTTCCAGATCAAAAATAGTTTTAAGATGCTTTTCCCTTTCCTCCTTCAACTGAGTTATGAGGGCTTTCTGTTTCTCCCCTTCAAGACACACTTCTGCACTTCTGAGACATAATTCTTTGTATGAAGCAGCTAACTCATCAAAGGTTAGTTCCCCGTCACTAGACTCTTCATCAGATACATATTTTCCTAATTAATGCTTTAAGATACTTGGCAGATTATTCAAGATCACTCTCTGAGTCCTCTTCAGACCAAGTAACAGATTGATTCTTTTTCTATTTCTTAAGATATGTAGGACATTCAGCTCTAATGTGACTAAAGCCTTCACATTCATGACATTGTATTCCCTTCCCTTGAGAAGATTTTTCTTCAGCCCTTTTTCTTCCAACCTCATTTGACTTATAGATGTCAGATGAGATGTTCTTGACATTTGATCTTTGGTTCCTGTCCATTATTTTATCACTTTGTTAAACTATCTTCCAAGGATAGCTAGGGCATTTGATATTCCTCCATCTGTATCCAGATCACATTCCTCCTCTTTATCTTTAGTATTTGATACAAAGGCTATGATTTTGTTCTTCTTTTCAGATCTTTCATTGATGCTTAATTCAAATCTTAGAAGGGATCCAACAAGTTCATCCACTTTCATTTTTTCAATGTCTTGAGCTTCTTCTATAGCAGTCACTTTCATATCAAATCTCTTGGGAAGAGACCTGAGCATCTTTCTCACCAATTTGTCTTCAGGTATTTTCTCTCCTAAAGCACTGGATGCATTAGCAATTTCAAGAATGTTTATATGGAAGTCATTTATACTTTCATCATCATTCATTCTCAAATTCTCAAATTTTGTGGTGAGCAACTAAAGTCTTGACATCTTAACTTTGGATGTGCCTTCATGAGTAGATTGAAGAATTCCCCATGCATCCTTAGCTACTTCACACGTGTTCACTAATATGAAAATGTTCTTGTCAATTCCATTGAATATAGAATTCAAGGCTTTAGAATTTCCAAGAGCAATTTCATCTTCTTCTTTAGACCAATCTTCTTTTGGTTTTAACTCAGATGTAGGTTCTCCATTTTCTCCCAATTTGATAGGGTGTTCCCATCCTTTTAAAACAACTTTCCAAGCCCTGCTGTCCAAATACTTTAAAAAGGCAACCATACGTGGTTTCTAATAGTCATAATTACTTCCATCAAGAATGGGTGGTGTGTTTACAAATCCTCCTTCCTTGTCCATAGTACCAGAAAGTATCTTCCCTGGATCTCACCCAAATAAAAAGTAAGATGCATGCTCTAATACCAATTGAAATTCTGGTATCAGATATGTGATGTTGAATGAGATGTCACGACACAAATATTTGTTTACAAGTAAAGAGCAGTAATAACAAAAGCAATAAAAATACAAGAGATTGTTCACCCAGTCCAGTGTACAACAACACCTACTCTGGGGGCTACCAAGCCAGGGACATGTCTACTAAATAGTATTAATTCATAGACCCTCAGTAAATAACCAGTTTACGATCTAATCACTTAATCACTACCCGTGCTATACTTCTACCTAAGACTCACCTAGGTATAAGGCCCTCCTCAAATCCATTCAATCACTTACAATAAAGAAACAATAGAAATAATAAGTTTAAAAACTTCAATCATTCAATGCTTAAAAGCTTATGAATGATATACAATTAACAACCCAAATAACAACACAAGTATTCAATCAATACTATAGTGTTTGAAAATTAAAAGACTTCGACTTTTTAAAACAGAAAGAAAGTATTCTTCTTCAAAAGTTGCAGTAGTTTGAATAAGGAAGCAAGTCCTTATATATGCGCAGATGTGGGCTTGGGCTTTAAAACCCAATATTCAATTATTTAGAATATTTCCATAAAAATAGGTCAAGATAAAATCCATGCATTTTGAAAAATATTCCTCCATATTTTTCGCTGCATGTGAGTCACAAATCTTGAATTATGGAGTGTTGGAAATCAGGAAACAGAAAAACATATACTGATGTTGGTGAGATCAGTTCAGGAGGCAGATGTCAAGACATCTGCTTTGACATCATTCAAAACAGTTTGCTACAAATGTCAAGACATTTAGAAAAACATTAAAAGCACATTGTTTTACCAAAATTACTGCCAACAAACACTTACAAAAGTGTTCATTAACACACAAAACAAACAACATCAAATAATTAATCTATTAAAATAATTAAGCAAATAATAGGAGTGTTACATGAGTGTCCATGATTACTCGAGATAAAGGACCGTGGGGACCATCTTCGTTGCTCTAGTCTAGTGACCACGGTGGAGAATAATTTCTCTTTTCTCGCCAAGGACTATCGTCTCGACGGGGAGATGAGATTCTTGGATGGCCTTTTAGCTTGGGTGAAGGTGAACGATGTTTGTCTGATCAGTGTCTTCCTTTGGTTTTTTGGTAACCAGGGAGCTGTGATCCTTCTGCGGGGGAGTGCAGTCGCGCTTCTTGATGAAAGAAACCTCCAGTTTTTCTGGTGATGAGCGACGACTTGGTCGCCGTGGAGATGGGCTACAAGATCCATGTCATTGGTGTCTCTGAGGAGGAGATCTTGAACAAAATTCTTTCTCCAACGCCCCGATCTTGTCATTCTGTTGGAGGATCATAGTGTTGGTTTGGTTGAGTGTCGTGAGCAGGGCCGCCATCGTTGGGTTTGTGTTGGACGTCACCGAAATTTGTTGAAAGCTCTCTGGCGCCTCTTCTTGAGTTTTCTTGATTTTGATAGTTTCCACAGACTAGACCCCGTCGTCTTCCGCCCCTTCGAAGGAAGGAGACATGATGCGTTTTTCTCTCCTCAGGGGTACAACTTCTTCAAGAAATGACATTTCTCTGTCGTTCTCAATTTTACACACAGGTGAGATGACAGTTTAATGATAAAGGTTATCGTCATATTTACCGGCCATGATGTAATATTATAAGTTTGTTTTGATCTTTTGATTTCAAGGAAGAAAAGATGGGGAAACAAGATTTTCGACATGTGGCACCACTGATCTTACCGGGGATCAGAACCTGTAATGTGCTAGAAACTTTGTCAGTAGTGCTGAAATTACAGAGGAGGGGAGTGTACCTGTAAGGCACACTGAGCTCAAGTAAGTAAGAGTACAGAGATACATGAGATAAAAAAGGGATTAAGAGTTAAATACATGACCCTCACAAGTGTGAGGGTATTTATAATGCCCCCAACGCTTAGCCACTGGTTCTATTCTTAGGCCGAATATCAAGGCCCAAAAATAGGCAACTTTCATGATTCCCGCGAGAAATTAGGGATGAGTACATCATGCTCGTTGTCCTAGGAAGTTGCCCCTGTGTATCACGGGCAATATGAAAACTAGCGGTTACTACGGGTAGAGATATATGTTACCATCTACACGAGATAGGTGACACCGGTCAGCCGCGTGTCCCTAGAAGACGGGCATGCAAGAAGTGTGCTTTCTGCTAGTCCTGATGGATTAGGGTAGCACTTTTGGATCGTTCTGGACACTAGCGGATTGGGCCAGCCTTAGGTCCAGTCCAGAACATTACCTAAATCTTTATATTATTTTTAAATTTTAATTGTTATTATGAAAATCAATTAAAATAACATTCAGACGATAATCAATGTCATATTCAGATTCCTTATTTCATAAACATCATATTCATCTTGCATATCTAACATGAAACCCTAATTTTGTGTTCGTCCGCCATTTTTGAACAAACTGAAGTTATTCATCATACTCATCTATCGTTTCATATTCTTTCCCAACATTGTAGACAAACATCAACATAACTTTCTTCGTGTTCGTCCTCCATTATTGAACAAACTAATAGTTGTTATTATTTTGAAGTTCTCCCATTCAATCACTCATCAAACATAACACGACCAAAAATCTTCTTATGTTTGTATTGGGAACATTGCTGCTAAGGTAAATGTGAAAATATTTGTTATATTTGTTTGCAATTAATTATTAAGATTTACAGATTTCAAATAAAGTATAATTGGGAGGTTAAATTTGATTTCAAATTGAGAATTAAGGTTTATGCTTGAATTTTTTTTTATGTACATGTGTTTTATATTTTATGATTTTGAATTTTGAATTTTTTTAGGTACCTTTGATTTAATTAGGAAATTAGGTATTGTGGTTGATAATGAGTTTTGTTGTGTTAAAAATTGTGTTAATTCAGCTTTGCTGTTAAATTTGATTTAAATTTGGAAATTATGGTCTATGCTTGAATTTGTTTTTTGTACATGGGTTTCATATTTGATGAATTCGAATTTTCAAATTTGTTAGGTACCTTTGATTTAATTAGGAAATTAAGTCTTGTGATTGATGTTGAGTTTTGGTGTGTTAACAATTGTTATAATTTAGGTTTATTATGGAAAACTACGACGAATATGATTCCATCGACGTTTATTATTGTGATAATGATACATCTGATGTTGAATCGAATGATGTTCAAGATGACAAATATTCGGTATCTAGTGCGTATCAAATTTCAGATGATGGTGCTGATAATATTCACAATGATGATTTGGTTGAAGTAGATGTAATTGTGGGTGATAGATTGGTGAATATTTATTCCATTACTACTGATGAAATGCGTGCTATGGAATTTGGTATTGTTGATGAAGCTTATGAATTTTATTATCGATATGGTAAATGTAAAGGTTTTTCCATTAGGAAAAGTGATGTTAGGACAATAGGGCCTGAGGGTAGTAAAATAACAGTAATGATGCAGTTTGTATGTAAAAAAACATGGATTAAGAGAGAAGAAATACTTATGTAGGGTTGATAAAAAAAGAGATCACATACGTTTGATCCTTACTAAATGTTTGGCTAGGCTTCATGTGCACTACAAAGCCAACAAGGATAGATATGTAGTGTCAGCTTTTGAAGAGGCTCATAACCATGAATTAACCATATCTAGGTTTGTCCACTTACACCCCCATTTATCGTGAAATTTCTGAAGCAAATGGAGCTCAGATTGATGGTCTTTAGTCACATGGAATTATAACTTGTCATATAATGGGGTACATGGTTTCTTAGAAGGGTGGATATATTGGTGTTGGATTTACAAAGAAGGATTTGTACAATTATTTTGATTTAAAAAAGTGTGCTACTATTAAAGTCGATGATTTTGTCGCTTCTTTAAATTATCTAAATGTAAAGTCATCTACTGATCCTATGTTATATGTTGAATATGATGTCAATAGTGATGGACGAATGAAGTCTCATTTTTGGGTTGATGGGAGCACTAGATCTGACTATTTTTGTTTTGGCGATGTGGTTGTGTTTGACACAACTTACAAGAAGAACAAATACAATTGTCTATTGGTTATATTTTTAGGGTGTAACCACCACTCTCAGATAGTTATTTTTGGTGTTGGATTGGTATCAAATGAAACGACAAAGATGTATAAGTGGTTATTGAGGTGTTTTTAAGAGTGCATGGAAGATAAATACCCATAAGTAGTTGTTACAGACAGAGATGGGGCTATGAGCGAAGTTATAAAATAGGTGTTTCCAGATGCGACCCATCGCTTATGTGCTTGGCATTTGAATAAGAATGCAGGTGAAAATGTAAAGAAGTCATAATTCTTGGAAGGTTTTAAAAAAGTCATGTACTCAAATTTTAAAAAGGATTAATTTGAAGAGTTTTGGTCAGAGCTAATTAAAGAAAACAAACTTGAAGGAAATCCTTGGATTGAAAAAACGTATGAGAACAAGTCACTATGGGAAATTGTATATCTACGTGATTAGTTTTTTGGACGTATAAGAACTATGTCTCAATGTGAAGTTTTTAATGCAATAATCAAGAGTTATGCCAGGAAGAAAGGCTGCACTTTTGAATTTAGGCATAATTTTGAGCAGGATTTGACTGAGTATAGAAACAATGAACTGGTTGTTGATTTTAAATCAAAGTTTTCAGAACATGTGTTAATAACTCACATGTTTTTTATTGAGAGCGATGTCGCTAAAATTTATACAACAAATATTTTAAAAGAAGTTAAAGATGAAATTATGAAGGTTGATGCATTGATTGTTAAGCATGGATTTGATCGCGAGGATACAAAGATTTATACATTGACAAGATATTATCGGGACAAATATGAAAGAGAAGTTGTTTATGATGGTACAACACTTCAATGTTTGTGTAGGTTATTTGATTCTCGTGGACTTCCATGTTCTCATATGTTTTATGTCATGAAGAAAGATCATGTTGATCACATTCCTACCAGTTTGGTTTTTTCGCGATGGACCAAGGATGCAAAAATTGAATATTTGAACATGAATTACAATGGTATAGTTGATTCGAATTTGATTGAGCAAGCTCGGTTTGGTGCATATTGTTATGCTTTTACTACTTTTTGCAAACAAGCTTCAAAAAAGAATGATATTTATGGGGAAATAATGGATGACATTATGAATTTACAAAAAAAAAAATTGCAATACTGATGATCCTATTGGGACAGGAAAGTCAGTCGTAGATGATCCAACGTTGGTGAAGAGTAAAGGTAATGTTTTGTTGACCAAAGTTCTTTCAAAGGCTACAAATTATTGGGATGTTCAGGAGAAGAAAAAGAAGGTATTGGTGAAAGTATGAAGTATTTATGAAGTATTTGGGATAATGTTGCACCATGTTGGTTTTGTTCTTAGATTTTAGATAATTTGATTATACTTTGGATAATATGTCAGCTGCTTGAGTTTAGATAATTTGGCATTAACTTGGTCTTCTTTTAAAGTTAAGGATAAGTTAATTGGTTTTCCTGGTTTGGTGGATAATTTGTATGTATTTTGGATGGCGTGATATTTCACTCTATTTAAGTATTTAATTTTTTATGAAGTATTTGGGATAATGTTATATCATGTTATTTTTGTTCTTAGATTTTGGATAATTTGATTGTATTTTAGATAATCTGTTTGTGTTAAGTTGCTTCAGTTTGGATAATTTGGCATTAACTTGGTCTTCTTTTAAAGTTAAGGACAATTTGGTTGTTGTTCCTTGTTTGGTGGATAACTTATCTATATTTAGATGGTGTTATATTTCACTCTATTTAAGTATGATGTTTTTATGAAGTATTTGGGATAATGTTGCATTAGGTTAGTTTTGTTCTTGAATTTTGGATAATTTGATTGTATTTTGGATAATCTGTTTGTGTTAATCTGCTTGAGTTTGGATAATTTGGCATTAACTTGGTCTTCTTCTAAAGTTAAGGATAATTTGGTTGTTGTTCCATGTTTAGTGGAAAGTTTGGTTGTATTTTAGATGATGTGATATTTCACTCTATGATGTTATGGTTACTAGTACATAGTAAAATAATATATTATGATTACTAGTACATAACTATTTTGAGGTTTGGATTTAACGTACACACCAAATACAATTAAAAATTTTTACGTCTGGATTTAACATACCTCTTTGTGATCTAGCTAAGTACATATGAGTTTAGCCCATTTCACATACTTCTCCTTCACATGTTGACTTCATCTCTAATCACCATGTTGCATATTCATCTAAGTTGTTTTAAATTACAATAAAACTTATTTTAATAACTGACAACGAAAGTTCACCTTAAGCAATAAAGCGAAAATTGATCATTGTAACAAAATTTAATATTGGAAATCAACAAAAAATTTCATGTATTAATCAAAGCTCTTTTAATAATTTGATATTGGAAATTAAAATTTGACATTAGAAATGAACAACAGTTTTCATGTAACAATATGCCTAAAAATTTGAACTCAAATATAGAATAATATCTACGATATCGTTCTATACAAGTTACATCTTTATCATTACATTGAATAAATCATAATTTATCAAACTTTTGGGCTTGTCTAATCAGTTAAGGTACATTGAACAACCTTCATTTATAACTATAAAGTTTACATTATTGAACTCAAATATAGAGTATTATCTCTGATATCATTCTATAAAAGTTAATGTACTAGAGCTTATCTCAAATTTACAAACAAGTATATCTTATGGTGAGTCTTTGTATCCCACGTAGAGAAAACACTTGGGCTTGTTAATACCATTCATTAACTCTGATTTGCAATATCTCCTTACATCCATTATTTAATTGAGAAAAATGTGAATATAAATGATCAAAATATTTCACAATAGCACACAAACTAAATTGGAATAATATCACAATCTAATTTTAAATTTCAATTGAAATGCTAACAATTCAATAAGACAACATCAAAATTAAATTCCTAATTCAAGTCAAACCCTAAAGATCCAATTAAACGAGTCTTATTTCACTATCTTCCAATTCAATGCAAATTCAAAATTTATGAATTTGATAAAATACAAATCTAATCCACAATTACATAATTTCTGATGATTTCAATTCTATCTCAAAATTTATTAATTTCATAAATACAAACCCTAATCCCTAATTATATAATTTCAAGATAAGAATTCAAATCCATTTCAAAATTTATGAATTTCATAAAATACAAACCCTAATCCCCAATTTCATATTTTCTGGGTAAGAATTCAAATCAACTTCAATTTTAAATACAAACCTAATCCCAAAATCGATCTTTTCTGGATAAGAATTCTAATCAACTTCAACTTAAAATATAAATCCTTAAACTCAATTCATTAGTTTATGTATAATAACTAAAATCAAATTGATTTTGGGAAAATATACAGATTGAGATGGATATGAACAATTATTTGTAAACGGAGACGACAACATGGGACTATTGCTTTGAACCATATAGCAACAAACATGAAAATATTTACAAACGATTTGATGAATTCCACAACCAATACGAATTACACGAATATTGCTCTGAAAGCTAAAAATCAAACATTAAACACGGTTACAAAATTGGATGAAAGAGAATAGGTCAGATATGAATTTGAGATTTAGGGAAGATGTCGAAATTGAGAGAAAGAAGAAGAAGAAGAAGAAGAAGAAGAAGAAGAAGGATGAGGTGTTCGAAGAACATGTGAGTGAGATTTAGGTTTTTCAATTGCAATTCCAACCTCTTAAATTGAAAGAAGGAAGAAGAAGAATAAGAAGGTCGAAGAACAGGTGGGTGGAATTTAGGATTTTCAATTGCAATTTCGACCCCTGAATTTGAGAGAAGGAAGAAGTATAAGTTTGATGAACAAGTAGATGTGTTTGTCAAATAAAAACTATTAAATTAAAATAAAAGTTTTTTAAAATTGTAAATTATTATCAAATTAATAGAGGACTAATATACAATAATTAAAAATTTCATATAAAAAATGATTCACTATAAACTTCCTGCACTATAAAATTGATGTGGCTTACAATTTAATTTATTGGTCAATTAAAGTGACTTCACTGAAAAAGTCAATTGTGTGACTTCACTATAGAAATTTCCTTAAAATAATTATATATTTTCAGCATATTAATATGCGAGGATCTTTTCCATATATTTAACTAAAACACAAAAAAAAAAAAAAATCAATTCAAACATAGGCACTATTACATTTTTTTCTGTATATTTAATTCATATATGAAGAAAAATCACATCAAATAATTTTGGTCTTTGTATATTTAATGAATTTTTTTATTTAAAAGTACATAAAAAATGCATTCGTAAATTTCATACACATATAATACAGGGAAAAAATTACAACATAAAAAAATATTTGTATTTCTTGATTTTGATGGATGAAAGATGCATAATTATTGTAAAATGTAATGTTAGATGGGCTCAATGTCAAGCTTTAGTGGTGGACACTAGATGGGTTTAGTCCAACAATAATAATCAGTCAAACTCATCTCATATACACCA